TTAAGTTGGGTGAAAAGGGTTTGCCAAAATTTACTGTTAAATTTGGCATCTCTATCCAATACGATAATTTCTGATAAACCGTGGTTTTTGAATATGTTTGAAAAAAATCTTGGCTACCTCAGGTGCTGTTACCGTTGTGTGAGATGGACAGAAGTAGGCTCTTTTGGTTAGTTTATCAACAAATACAATAATAGCGTCATGCCCATTTTTAGTTTGAGGAAGTTGTACTATAAAATCCATGATAACTTGTTTCCAGCATTTCTTTGGAATATCCAAGGGTTGTAAGAGTCCACGGGGCTATTGATTATTACTTTTGTTCCTTTGACATTGGTCATAGCTTCCTACGTATCTCTTAACATCCTTATGGAGTTTGGGTCAGAAATAATTTTGACTTATTAACTCATATGTTTTATTCATTCCTAGGTGTCTTGCTATTTCAATGTCATAGTGTTCTTGGAGTAATTGTATCCTTAATTCTTTATTTGACAGAATTGCTATTCTTGAACCTTTTTTTAAATAGATTTTCCCATTATTTAGTTTAAAATATTTAACCCTTGCTTGTTGTTTGGGGTCACTAATTGTGTTACCCTTTAAGATTTTAAAAATAGGTGAGAAATAGAAATCCTTGAGATATTCTTGTTCGAGGAATTCATCATTAGTTAATGCTGTTGAAATGGTGGTAACGTTATTAAGGTGTGTATGTCTGGATAATGCGTCAGCGACAACATTGGTTTTCCTGGCCTATATTTCACATCAAAGTCTATTGATTGTAGGACTTCTAACCATCGGGCTTATCTTCGAGAAAGATTGGATTTGGCTTTGATATATTCTAATGAAGCATGGTCTGTAATAACTGTGAATTTTCTTCCTTCTATGTAAGAGTGCCAAAGTTTAATTGCATGGACTATGGCTAATAATTCCTTTTCATGTATAGGGTAGTTTAACTCCGCAGGTGATAATTTTCTTGATTCATAAGCAACTGGTTGGTTACCTTTACCGTGGTCTTGACTAAGGACTGATCGCACAATTAGAAGCATCTGTAGTGATAGTAAATGGTTTAGTGGGGTCAGGGAGGATAAGTACAGGGGCGGAGGTAAGTTGCTGCTTTAACATTTCAAAAGCATTTTCTTCAGACTGGTTCCATTAGAAAAATTGATCTTTATGAAGAAGTTTGGTGAAAGGGGCAGTGATAGCAGAAAATCCTTTTACGAATTTTCTATAATAGCTTGCAAGGCTGAGAAAAGAACGAATTTGGGTTATGTTGGTGGGGGCTAGCCAACTCTTTATAGCTTCAATCTTCTTATTATCAACAGAAAGCCTGTTTGCCAATATTACATGGCCAAGATACTCGACTTTCTCCTTGAAGAATTCATATTTAGAGATTTTGGCATAGAGTTGGTGTTCCTTCAAGGTCTCTAAAACTTTCCAGAGGTGTATCACGTGATCTTGTTTTGTCTTACTGTATACAAGAATATCATCTAAATAGACAATTACAAATCTATCTAGGTAATCCCTAAAGATATCATTCATTAGAGTCATAAATGTAGCGGGTGCATTGGTGAGACCGAAGGGTAATACAAGGAATTCATAGTGGCTATAACGCGTATGAAAAGCGGTTTTGTGACTATCTTTTTCTTTAATCCTAATTTGATGGTACCTGGAATATAGATCGATCTTTGTGAAATATTTAGCGTCTACCACTCTATCCATTAATTAGTCAATATGGGAAGTGGGTATCGGTTTTTGATGGTAATTTTATTGAGAGCGCGATAGTCAATGCAGAGTCTGAGGGTTCCTTCTTTTTTATGAATGAAAAGAACTGGGGCACCAAATGGGAAAGTACTAGGTCTAATAAAGTTTTTCTTTAATAAATCAGTTAGTTGACGCTTTAGCTCATCCAACTCTTCATAGGACATTCTGTAAATAGGGCAAAATGGAGGCTTTGACCCTAGTACAAGATCAATAGCATGGTCAACTGTTCGTTCTGAAGGCAGATGGTTTGGTAATGTTTCAGGAAATACTTCACCGAAGTCTTGAAGAATCTTTTGAACCTCAGGTGGTTGGGAGCTGGCACTTTCATTATGTTCTCTATTAATATGCACGGCAAAAATTTCTTCTTCAATAGGTACTTTGGCTAGCTGTTATCGAGAAATAAAGACAGAATTACAACTAGGCTCCTTAAATTTATTTTGAGAATTCGCTTGTACTTCAATGGTTTTAGTCCCATACTGGAAAACCAAAATATTTTTCCTCCAATTAATGTTGGGGTTGGCATGATACAACCATGGTTTACCAAGTATGGTGTCGTAACATTGAAGATTTAGTACTTGTACAGAAATCCCAGAGGTGTTATAAGGACCTAGTTCAAGTTTGGTAATGTCAACTATTTTATTTGTTTTTGCTTTTCTACCATCTGCTAATTCAACCGTTAGAGAAGTATTAGTTTTTGTGGTTAGTTTATTTTTATTCACAAAATTCTTATTAATGAAATTTTGAGAGGCTCCACTATCTAGAAGAATCCAAGCGTCACGTCCATTGATCTTGCCATTGAACCTAAGTAACTGCTCACGGTTTTTCTTCACCTGTGTTAGTTCCAGGCTGTTGTTGGTGGCAGGTTGTGACGGTTGGTTAGGCTCATCTTCAATGTTGGTAATTTTTTGCTTCTCTTTGCTTCTACAATTTTTGGCATAGTGACCCACTTGTTCGCACTTGAAACAACTTCTCTTCTGCCCATTTTTCCCTGGTCTTTTATTATTGTAAATGTATCT